TGCTGCTGCCTCCAGGTGAGCACTCACCAACTCAGAGTTGTCTCTGCTCTTGGTTGTTTTTTTATCCTACATGCATCCTACATGCTGCTTGTTTATTTAAACAGTCCATTTAATCAGTCTATTGCTAGGTTTGTTTAGGCAGCTTAATTGCTGGTTTTATTTAGGCAGGGTTCTTGCTGGATTTGTTTTAACAGTTTGTCTGCTGTGTTTAGCTAGGCAGTCTATTGCTGTGTTTATCTAGGCAGTCTATTGCTGGGTTTAGCTAGGCAGTCTATTGCTGGGTTTATCTAGGCAGTCTATTGCTGTGTTTAGCTAGGCAGTTTATTCTGTGTTATTTCCTATACCACTTCATGCTATGCAGCTACATTATCATTTGTTAACATATGTTGCTGTATTTAGGCTATTTATGTGATAGATTTTGTATACTGCTCATTGTTATTCTGGGTTACTTTATGCAGTTTTTCTCACTCTGCTGTATGGGGAATGGGTGCCCCTGCTATGATGCTTTGGCTCTGCCTGTATTCTGTTTCCTCCCCGGGTTCCCCTGCTTCGCTCTGTTGCCCATACCCTTCTCCCTTATTCCTCACCTGCTCCCCGCGGCCCCTGGCCGCTTGCTGAGCAGCTTTTTGAACCGTGGCAGTGCGGCGCGATCACCACGCGGTAGGCCGCGCTCGGTTTTTGCAGCCGCGGCAGCCATTTTGTTGGAGCTGTGGCGGCCATTTTGTTGGAGCCGCGGCGGCCATTTTTCGGAGCCACATGGGCTCCGTGCATTGCAAACAGCCGGGTCTCACCCACTGAACTGGCCATGTGGCCACTCTCCCTATATCAGGGGAGATAGCCCAGTTTTTCAGCTATCCCCCTACCTACTGTGCCTGTCTCACATGCTGCATATGCAACAGATCCTGGATAGCAGGATCTGTCCCAGGCACACTCACAACTGCAGCTTACTATGATGTCTGATGCAACGTGACTAGGTTCTCTATCTTAGCATTAGACTTGTCACGCTTCTTTACTAATTAAATGTGAATCTCAGATTTAAAGGGGCATGTTACTGCTCAAATAAAAAATCATTGTTTACAAAAATCATTGTTTAACAAGACTATGCCACATGTGTTATATGCTAATCAAGTCTTTCTCTTAAGGGACTAAAAATTTTCCACTGCACATACACTTCAAAAGTGTATCCTAATATAATACCTGAGTGGTCTGTGAGTCAGCTTCTCGCTATATGGACCCTTCTACCCCTCAGGGGGGCTAACTGGCCCCACATTCAGCCCTGTTATTACAGGGGGGTGGACCATAATAATGGACATGTGACACCATTGTGGGTTGGTTGACCCCCTCCCTCTGGCAACATGGCTACCAATGAGTACCCTGCTGGCTCTATGGTGTCCTGTAGGATTAATGCTGAGGGTGACCCCTTCCTGCTTCCTACACTAATGCTCCGGCAATATCCTGATATTATCATACCGAGGGGGAACCCCTCCTACAGTCTGCACTGCTGGACCTGCAGCGTCCGGGTATTCCCATAAAAGAGGGTACCCCTCCCACTGATTGAGCTTCTGTTCTTACAGTGCCCTGCTATACGCAGATACTGAGGGTGTCCCCCTCCTGTGGACTACTCTGCTGGACCTACAGGGTCCCGTTATAACCATAATGAGGGTGACCCCCTCTCGCTGACTACACTACTGGGTGTACAGACCTCTATGATACCACACTGAGGTTGACCCCCTCTTACCTACAGCACTGCTTTATCTGCAATGCCCGGTTATGGTTATATGAGGGTGACCCCCTCCTGCCGTCTGCACTGCTGAACCAGCAATGTCTGGTTACTTATACGGCTAACCACTACGGCACTACTGTACCTACAGTGTCCGATTATGTTCAGACTGAGGGTGACCCCCTCCCCTGCTGGCCTATACTGCATGGTATGCTTGTGCTTGTTGGGTGACCCCCTCTTGCACACTGGGTGACCCCCAGCTGGCCGCACCAGGTATCACTCCAACAGTGTTACCTCTATGGCAGTTGTGCAATTACAACTGAAGGACAAATCTCCCGTACCCAGAAGGTCAGTTGGCCTGTCCTCATGCCGCCCCGCTGACCTCACTGCCAGAAACCATCGGTACCCTACAGGGACACTCCACCGGCCATCCTAGACGCTACACCAAGCACCCCTGGTACTCGTTGGCTAACGGATGGATTCATCAAGAGGATCAGTCTTCATGACGGAGTCCGGAAAGGACACCGCAAACACCGACACGGGGTTTGCACTCTATCTGGGACTAACCAGTGGATATCGATGACACTCGGACACAGATGTTTCCTCGGGACGAATAGCGCGTTACAGCTTGGAAAGCGGAGAAGACTAAATTCCCACTGGGAATGGACCGATATGACTTATAGGTATCGCCTAGTTGGTTTCTACCCCTGAGAACCGCAAAACGGCCCCTGTCCAAGCTGGACATCAAACTGATGGATTTGGCATCCAAGTGCTGGGTCTGCTCTCCGGAGTTAACCTCACGTACAAATTGAGCTGACACGTCTCTATTCATAGGGTTCCCCCTTAACTAGCCCCAGAGGTCTCTCGGACCAAAAGAGGCGTCGATTCCGACTCATTCTGCAGTTGCCCTGCTGGGCGAAGGGTGCGGTGGAGTGGACTTCCGCCCCATCCCCACGCTACATGCTCCCAGTGTATATGTCGTCTGTTGACACTTCGAGACAGAGGGCACTCATCTCCTCAGAGAGCTGCTCAGCGTGGACGATTGGTTCTCTCCCTCAAATGCACATGAGAGAAACCCGCATGGATTTTGCCATCAACATGGACATATTGAATCTGATTCACTCCCAGTCAACCCAGTTTCTGGTCTTTCATGGAATATTCGGTCCAGGCGGTGCTCCTCCTCCCGAGGACCAATATGTCTGTCTTCAAGGAAAATACCAGGTATATGCTCCGCAACCCGCGGGTCACACTTAGGGGCCCAACCCGGTCAATTGACCGGTTGCTATTCGCCATGGAAGCCATACCTCCAGGATCCGGTACTATCAGCCGCTCCAACATGACGCTTTCTCGGGTCTTAGGCCTTGTATGACCAAATCATGTGACCTTCGGATGAAGCTCATCTAAAACTTAATTGATAACTCCGACATAGTGGAACCTGACATACCTAGGAGTTTCGGACCCCAACCAACTCCGGCCTGGACTCTGGAGTCCGGAGGAGGGACCTCTTTATGCCAACTGCATGGAACTACCTGCAGGTTTGTTCAACATTCACAGTATTGCTCGCCATCTTCCGGCATGGACTTCTCACCAGTTTCCCACTACGGACTGCAGTCGGATCTCACGTAGGATCACTATCTATAGCTTCTGGACAAGTATTCGTCATTTGTGACAGAATGTCTGCGGGACGAGACACTCATGTGGCGGACGGCTTCACCCGACCATGGAGAGACCCCAATGATTGGTTGCCTCACACTCCGGGGTCTCAAGTACTGGCATGATTACATTCGGTGCGAGCCGCCATACGGAGCGGTTCTCCAGCTGGCTGCCGGACCCTCAGCGAGGGACGAGATTTCCAAGCTTGGTCTCTTTCGGGGCGTACGTATCCCGTTTACCTACAGGATACTTTGGGTTTTGCTTCAAACCGAATTCCTGGAAGTGTCGTTTCGCCTGGCCAAACCACTTCGGAGGAGTCCTGCGTGCTTTCCCCTTTTTGCTGGAGTTTGCCATGGGAAGGCAATCTACGACTCCCTGTCTCTTAATGTCCCGCGTGGGATCCACAGGGGTAGCCTGCCACGACTGGTGTTTGGGTCCCTATGGCGGTCCTTATCATGGCTGTCCCCATTGTCTGGCTGAGTTGCCCTCTCAGGGTAGGATCTTATGGGGCCATTCACATCCTATGTTAGCTAGTTTTCTCAAGATTCTGGCATTGCTAAGGATCTCTTGGTTTCCAGTCTA